TGCGAGCCTTCACACTTCCCAACGCAAAGCCCCTCTTGAACCAGACACCCTATCGATGCTTTTGAATGCACACTGGCCCCATGGACAGAAGGAGAGCGACAGGGACTCGAGAGCCAGGCTCCGCAGAGACAGCGGCGACGCTGCGGGCCCCTGTGGAACATCCCGCAGGCGCTTGGCCGCGTCCTTAGCAGCTGCCGTTCCCACACAGGAGGGCCACGCGCATCCACGCCGCGCTGCGCGTCCCGGCAAACACTCCTTCTAGGAACTCCGGCTGTCCGTTCCCGGGTCTCACGAGGCTCACCAGGCTGACGGCGCCCCATGCCCTCCTGTCCCCGTGGGCCCGCCCTCCAGTCCCGACTGCGCCACATCAACAGATCTCTGCGGGCCCCCTCCGCACCAGCACAAGCCTCCTCATCTCCGCTCTGCCCCCTCTCCCACGTCTCCCCACACGCACGGCCGTCTCCCTCAGCCAGTTCCTCTCCAGACGGCCTGACTCACACGCAGATGGGCAGCTCGTCTCCCCCGCTGGACTGTGAGCCCTGCAGGGCGAGGCCAGCTCTGTCCCCTGCCTCACCCTCCCCTGCATCCCAGGATGCCCTGCGCGACATGACCGCCTCCCGCCGGCCTGCACCAGCCACCGTCTGCGATGCCGGGGTTGGTGTCCACACAGGACGGGGGACGGTCAGGGCCTTCCTCCTGCCTCCCCGGCCGGAGCTGCGCACTCAGGCCCTTGGACCGGCCCACGACCCCCACCCCAAGCTGGCCCTCGCCCGCACTGTGCGACCGGCTGCCGCCGCGCGGCACAGCACCGCTCCATGCTCAGCCTTCCAAGGAGGGGACACGAGGTGCCCTCGACTCCCCTTTCCCCAGACTTGCCCTCTTGAACCAGATTTCTCTACTCCGTGTTCAATCAGGAAACCAAAATGCATTTACAAAGACCAGGACAGGCGCTGAGGAAATGCAAAAATGAATAAATGTCTACCTTTGTAAAGCTTATAATTTAGGAGAGGAAATAAGACAGTTACATAAATCACTAACGGGAGAGTTTTCAGTGCAATTGCAGAGTCTGAGGCAAAGTTGCTATGGAAGCGCCTGGCCAGCGAGAGTTTCCATCAGCGGATGGAGAGAGAAAGGGGGGCCTGGGAGGGCGGGGCGGGCGTGGGCCCCAGGCCCCCCTGTCCCCCACTGGGGTGCCCGGGCTGGGCGCGCCGCCCCACAGGCCCCACGTCAGCGATCCCCCAGCGGCAGGAACGAAGTGACACGCGTGCCCAGCCGTTGGGGGGGGGGTCCTTCCCGTGGAGGCTGGAAGAGGCGAGAGCTGGAAAGAGAGGCTGGGGCCAAGCAGCAACAAGGCTCCGAACCCCGCCCCGAGGACTAAACAAGCAGGGAGCTGTGGGAGGTGCCCCGGCAGGGGGGTGACAAGAGGTCAGGAAACAGAATGATGAAGGGATCCCTGCACAGCATCCCAAAAAGGGACACAAAGTCTGCCTGGTGTTTGGCTTCAGAGCAGCTACACAGAGAACGAGGGCTCCGCCTTGAGAAGGAGAGGCTGCCTGCCGCAGGGGTCTGCACGTCGCCCCACCGGCCGGTGGGGGGCGCCGGCAGGCTGCCCCGCGGCGGGGGACCTGGGCGAGCCTCGCTGCGGAGGGGCCGCAGAGCGTGCCGTGTGGGGCCGTTCCAAACGAGAGAGACAGGCAGGCAAGCCAGCAACAGAGGGCAGGTCGGGAGGACCACGAGCCAGCGGTCCCTGGCCAGTGAACAGGTGTCCTGTGTGCAGGGACAGACCCTGAAGGGATAAAGGGACAGTCCTCGCCATCTGCATGGCTCCCAGGGCAACGGGAGGTGGAGAGGCACTCCCCTCTCCTCTCCTGTGGTGAGGCCGGCACAGCCCGCCCCCCAGAGCTCCTTGCCAGGCAGCCGCCCCCCAGTTCTCGGGCACGGGAGCGGCCCCTGTCCTGTCCTCTGGGAACGTGTGAGGACGGACTCGTGGCCCCGCCGGGCACCGCCCCCCCCCCCCCCCCCCACCCCACCATCTGCACTTGGAGACGGGGCGCAAAGCGAGTCTTAGCTGCAGTTGCTCTCGGTGCCCGGCACGAGGAGCCTGTGGGAAGAATAGGACGAGCAGGCTGCAAGGAATCAGAATACAAGAAAGCAAGCGCCTGGTTCCCCGTCGTACCTGCTTGGCTTCTCACTCCCGAGAGATCGCCTGGGGCTGGGTGTCCGCGGGCCACCCTGGAAACACGTGCCCAGGCAGGTGTTGGGTTCCAGGGAGGCAGGCGGGTGGCAACTCAGTGCCACTGAGCCGCCTGCCGCACAGCAGCCTCTCCGGCGTAAGGGCCTGGCGGAAAGCCCTTCCCCTGCAACCCCTTCCGGGGCGGGGGGCGCCGCGCAGCTCCGAGGCGCTGAGTCTCCTGCCAAGCACCTTCACCACACGCTCGTTCCGGGTCTTGAAAATGGCTTTGGCCAACACCTTGGTTTTCCAGGTGAAGGAACTGGGGCCATGCAAGGCGGGTAGGCCCCTGGCCCAGGGTGGCCGGGCTGGGTCGCGGCGCTGCACCAGCTCTGTCCTTTGGTCCTGATCCCCAGCAGGTGTGGGAACAGTGGCTTGAACTTCACGTGTTCACCTAATCAGGCAAAGGCCCCCGTGCGCGTCTGGGATGCAGACACAGAGCAAGGGGGAGGCCGGCTCTGGGGGTGGTCACCTCCAGCGGCTCTTCTGGTCTTAAAGAAAAGCACCTCCAACGTGCTGCTCCAGCCTGCGCGGCAGCGTGTCACCCAGAGTGGCCGGGGAGAGGCTCTTCCTCCTTGGAGACACCCCACTCGGTTCACAGCCTCTGGGCTGCCTCTGCTGCCCCGCACCCCACAAACCTGGGGTGACCTCGCTCAGCCAGGTGCCTGGAAGAGTCTGAGGGCTCAACAAGGCGTCGAGCAGCTCCAGCCCCCAGGACCCCGCAGCGGACGCGTCTCTGCCCTCCGCAGCTGGGCTGCGGAGCTGGGGCCCCCTGGCCGGCGGCGCGGAGCTGGGAATCTGCGGCCACCATCTCGCTCTGTGACTCCCAGTCCAGTAGAACAGGCGCCCCTCCTGCCTCTCCCCAATGAGAGAGGCTCCCAAGAGGAGAGAATCATGAATTACAGTGGAAAGAACAGGCGGCGTGACTCCCAGCGCCGGGCCCTGCCAAGGGGCACGTTCACCCGAGGGAGGTCAGCAGCTTCAGCTGAACTGGGCGTGTGGTTCCTTCCGCGTCTCAGGTCGCAAGAGAAGCCTTGCGCCCCCGTGGAGCTCTGACGCGGGGACATGGCGCCTGTCCGTGCCTCGCCCGCTGTCCCCAGCACTTGGGCTCACCCTTCTTTAGCTCCCCTTCCCAAGGGGCCGCACGAGGCTTCAGGGCCCCGTTAGGCAAGTGAACTTCCGAACTCGAACGGCGCCAAACCCGGACATTCTCCACGTCGTTAAAATGAGGCGACCTGCGTCCTGCGTCCTCCCGAGGACCCCGCCCACACCTGACCCACTGACCGGCAATGCAGAAGTCGGGGTCTGGCTCCCAGGCTCCCGCTGCGCCTGGTCCCCTCCCCCGAACACAGCCTGGGCCACTCTCCTCCTCCACAGCCATCGGAGGCGCCCACCGTCACAGGAGTGGGACCAACAGTCCCCTGGAATGCAAAGGTTTCTTAATTTGTCCCCATCTGACCTCCCTGGGCGTAACCTCTTTGCACTCTTAAAGAATAATAAAAGCGAAACTTTTAAAATGACACTAGGAAACTGCAGAAAACCAGGTCCCTGCTGTCAGCACTGGGGAAAGGACTATGTCACTGAGTGCCGGGTGCCAGGACCACGGGACAGTCCCCTGCACGCCCCCTTGCGTCCCCTCCCCTCCCCTGCGGGCAGCTCCCCCGGCCAGCACCCCTTCCGACCTTCCGACCTTCCGATCCCCGGGGAGGGCTCCACCTTCGGGCTTTCTCTTTCTCTCCCTCACACGGCAGCCCTGAGCCTCCTCCCCCGTCCCCCACCCCGATGCCCACGGCATCCACACCACCTCCCTCCGGCCTTCGCTTACTCCACTCACAGACACCCCTCATCTGCGGGAGAGCCTCTCGCCCGGCCAGCCCCGGCGGGAGCCCTGGCACGTGCCCTGCTAGAACCCGGCCCCACTCCCAGGAAAGAGCTTCCCCCCCGTAAGTGGCCAAAGCCAGACAAGGGCCACGTCCTAGGGCGGGTACTAAACCCTCCCCCACAGGGCAGCAGGGCCCACGCGGGACGCCCCCTGGGACTCCTGGACTCTCTTCCTCCCCCAGCCTCCCCCGGCCCAGGGAGACCACAGGCTGGGCGCTGAATGGACATTTTTTAGGACACTGGGCAAAAGAAAGGTTGAGACAGAGATGGCGAGGACACTTTGGAGCGACCACCCGGGACCTGCCTGTGGAGATCACTAGGGCGCAAAAAAGTGACCTCTTTCTCCCCGACGCCTGGAGCCTCCAAGATGCACAGAGACCCAGGCTGGGCGTCCAGGATGGTGCGGGGGCCGCCGGGCAGCCATGGCTAGGGCAGAAGTGGGGAGACCCCCGGGGGCCATCCCCAGCCCCTCAGCCCGGGGAGGCTTGGCAGGAGGCGGGCGGCCACAGTCCTGTGGGCGCGGGGGTCTTGTGGGAACGCGCCGCGCCCCCGCGGTGCTCCCTGCCCCGACTTCGCCATGCGCGGCCTGTGAGCGGCCCCCGCCCGCCACCCACCGCTCTCCAGACCAGCCCAGCGCCAGAGACGCAGCGCCGCAGACCCGCGCGCCGGCCGGATAGGTGGGACCCGCGGTCCCCAAGTGGCTGCGGCGCCGAGGCCACCGAGTGTCAGGCCAGGGCCAGGGTGGCGCCCTCAGCGCGGAGCCCACGCGTCCCCCCAGCAGACCCCGATCTGAGCGCCCGGGACCCGGCTCCGCAGGGCCACATCCCTCGGTCCTCCTCGGCGGCTCCCGTTCCCGAGATGCCGACACAAAGGGGACGCCGTCACCCACCTGGTCCCGCGCGGCCCGGGCTCCGGGGGTTGTCGCTGCTGCTCGGCCGCGGCGGGGCTGGGAGCGCTCCGCTCGAGTCTGGTGCCGCGGCAGGGTGTCCGCGCCCGGTGCCCGCCGCCCCGCGCCCGCGCCCCGCCCCGAGCCGCCCTTTCTTCCCTGCCCGGCCTCCAGCCGGGACGCGCAGCCGGAGGGAGACAGGGCGGCGGCGCGAACGGCACAAAGACGCGGGCGCGGAGTCGCCAGCGCCCGCCGCCGCGCAGCGCCCCCTGCCGCCCTCCCTTGGCCGCGCGGGCGGGCGGGCCGGCCGGTCGCCCTGGGCTCCCAGGGATGGCCCGCTGCTACGGGGTGGAAATGAGGGGCGAGGGTCCCTGCCTGGTGGCCTCCAGAAGACAGTCCCCCAATGCCAACAGTCTGGGGCGCGGGGAGCGGCGTATATAAGCAAGCAGGAACGGACTGGGTGTGCGGTCAGCCGCCCTTTCCCCGCCAGCGTCACATGAAGCGTCTCTCCATCCCACTACCTGGTTGCTTTGAGCGGCGGGGAGGAGGGCCATAGCACCGCGCTTCCTGTCGTTAGGGCTCCAGCATGTACAAGTGACAGGTCTTTGAAGGCAGAAGTCCGGTAAGAGTTCCTTTCGCCATTCCCCTTGGCAGCTGGAAGGCACACAAGCCCTCCCCGTGGGTCATGCGTGCACACTGGACCGAAACGTGCCGTCGTTAGGAAAGAACGACCTCCTCTCTCCAGCGTGAAGGGGGAAACCCCCTGATCCTTCCCACACCCCACGGGACATGCCCTGCCACGTCCACTCTAAAGGTACCCACGCTGGACTGCGATCTAAAGACAATTGTCACTGTCAAAATAAAATGCCATCCAGAGGCGGTCAAATCAGCGGCAATAAAGCGGAAGTTTGCCATGTTCATCAGAAAGTAAACGTATTTTTATGGCCTTCGCAGTCCCGTGCCCCACGGTGCCCAGCACAGGGGGAAGGGGTCCAGGCACGTCACAGATGGTCAGCGGGCGACCGAAAGGAATCTTTTCTCCAACTCTCTGCAAACGAGTGCGTGCATACGACTTGCACGCACATGCCGTCGATCCTAATGAGACGTTTAGGCCAGAGAGAACGTTGAGTCTGAGCTCTCGGCTTCACACACGGAAACACTGGGGTGGGACGCGGTCCTTGGGGGTTGTTCCAATATCCCTGCCCGCCAGGCGCCTCGATGGCAGCGCCTCCTCCAGGTTCCTGGCAGATTCCGCTCTTCTGTCGCTCTGTGACACGGATCTGCTACACCGCTGTGCTCTGGGCATCGGAAGAAGGTGGCCCTTGTGGCTGGACAGAATTTTCAAAGGCCTCGAGTTCTGAGGGAATGATTAGGTTGCATCCAGCGTCAGCCGGGCGTCCCTGCCGGCAGACATTCAGTGCGTGCTCAGTGTCCCTTCCTCCGGCCCACGTCCCCACCCGGGCACTCGGGCAGGGCCATGTGACTCATCCGGGTCAACAGACCCTGGCAGGAGAGTCACGGCTGGGCTGAGGCAGAGGAGACACCCCAGGCGCCTTACCTTGTGCCGGTCCCCGTCCACGGGGACGGCTGAGCCACAGAATGAAATCAGCCGGCCTCCCTGGGTTGCCTCTTGGTAGGACGATTCCCAGGAGACTGTTTTAGCTGCGTTTGTTTCTGCAGCTCAGTCTAGGCTAAAGGAACCAAAGCCGGGGTGATGGGTTGGCGGGGAGGGCAGTCACCCCTGCAGGGGGCCCGGGAGAGAGCCCGGGGCGAGGCAGCAGGCGGGCAGCGCGCGTGGTCCAGCCTCGGACCGGGAGCCCGCTGGCGGCCGCGCGCGGAGAGCCAGGCCACCGGGGGACCCTGGGGGGAACTGAAGGACCAGCCAGCAGAACGGGAGGCAGTGAGGGGTCCCAGGAAGTGAGGCACCCAGAGCTCGCTCCTCACGGAAGTGGCCACAGGTAAGACGTCCCAGAGGGTTAAAATGAGAAAAGGGGGTGGGAAGGCCCGGGACTTCACCCACCGTACAGGGCGCGGGCGAGGCTGGGAGGGGTGCCCAGCGTCTGTGCCGCCCCGCTGTGCGCTGGGAGGGTTGGGGCTTTCAGGCCCGGGCCCCCGCCTCCTGGGAGGGGACAGGGCTGGACCTTGAATCAGAGGCCAATGACTGAATGAAGCAGGACTGTGTAACGAGGCCCCACAAAAGCCCCCGAAGATGGGCTTGGGGGCCCTGCAGGCGGTGGGCGTGGGGGCATCGGGGAAGAGCGGGGGCCTGGGGAGGGGATGCCGCGCCCACCCCCTGCGCCCGCCCGTGGCTGCTCCTGAGTCACCCCCTTTTACAACGAGCGCGGTGGAGTAAGCAACACAAAGGGGCGGGGGCCGTCTGTGTGCTTCTGGGGGACCTGGTGCTGCCTCCGGGGCAACAGTGTCAGATCAGCCGAACCGCCCACGCCCAGCTGGCGGGGCACAGGGCGCGAGGCCTGGCGTGGGAGAAGCCCACAGCGGGTCTGGGAGCAGCCTCCGACAGGGGCAGGCTGGGGCGGGTGGAGGGAAAATAAACCACGCTGGGCAGTTCCCCAGATCTTCCAGGAACCGGCTTGCTCAGGGCCTTGTTTTCATGCCTTTTTTTTTTTTTTTTTAAGATAAAGTGAATTCCCCGAACATGAGATACACTCACATTCATAAGCGAATATATAAACAACTCAGAAACCAAATCCAGCGTTTCCTTTTTTCAAACCACTGTGGTGTTTTTTTTAATGTCATTGACTCTCTCCTCATCCATTAGTGTGAATTGTTGAGAACTGGATGTTCTCATTGAAGTCTAATGATGCTCGTTGGCTTTAAAAACCTTCAGAAGAGCTGTGCAAAATAAAATGGAGTATGAATGCAATTCTATTAAAATACGTATGACTGGAAAGATAGAAGTCAATGAGCAGTTTACCTCCAAGTGATACAATTACGGGCGATTGTTATTTTCTTCGTTTTGCTTTACTCATTTTTTTTCCCAAATGTGCATCAAGTGTGTGTTATTTTTAGAGTCATGAGCAGAATGGCAAAGCCTTTCTGACCTTTGGAGCCCACGTCCATGGTCCCTGAGTGGGACTGGCCACGTGGGGCCCGTGCCGCTTCCCTGCTCCCTCCCTGGCTGGGAAGGGCCCCCCCGCCTCAGGGACCCCGCGTGGAGCTGAGCGCCCGATGGGGCAGCCAGGGCCCGGCCCCCACGGCGGAGCACGCCAGCTGCCCCTGGGGGCTCCTCCCTGTCTTCACCCCCCAGGCCTGACCCCCGTCCCGGGGCCTGGAGCCCGGGTTGGCGCTCGGCGTGGGGAAGCAGTGAGCCGCCGGCCTTCCTGAGGAAGCGGTGTTTCTAAGCAGAGGCCAAGTGCAAGGGCATGTCCAAAGAAGACCTTCCGTCCGGAGGCCCTGGGGGATTCCTGGGGCAGAGCGCGGGGAGAAGGGGCAGGAGAGCGCGGGATGACTGCGCGGGGGGCGGGGCCGTGGCCGGGCGTGCGCGCGCCGTTCCTTCACCGGCACCCGTCCCACAGACGCACGGAGAGGGCAGGCAGGTGTGAAAACACTTTAATATATAACAGCATCTTATAAAACATCAGACCAATGCACGAGAGCAAGAGACGCAGAGAAAAACTATACACATACATTTCCCAAAAACCCAGACCACCTGTGCGCACTCAAGATAAAGTCCTACGGCCTTAGGGTGCGAGCCGGCTCCCTCCAGCCACAGCGGATTGAGCAGACTTTTCAGCGGCGGGCAGGCTGTGCGATGTCGTGTCGCTGGGCAGAGCCCCCTTACAACTGCGTTCATCTGCAGTCGTAACGCGGTTCCCCGCATCGGCCCCACGGAGCGATCCCAGGCTCCAGACAGAACCCAGCACGAGGCTGCATCTCAGATGATCCAGCCAAACGGTCTCACCCGCGTTCCCACGTGAAAGGGAAAGGGCACGTTTCACATCATTTATCGCTAATGGCAGAGGCAGCGTGCCCTCCTAAAGCCAGCATGCTACGACTAACGTCTGATGTTTCCTAAGGCTAAACTCGTCGGGATATTACAAGGCAGGCAAAGCAGTCACGACAGGGGAGCAGAACACTAGCCCCTCACCCTTAAACGGAGATGCCTCGGTCACCTCGCCCATTTGCTTTCCCGATAAAAAGAGCCTATTTCACAAAACTAGAGACTCCTAAGTAAAACTGAAAAAAATAAAGCAAGATGTTCTATAATTTAAACTGACACGGTGCCGCAGAGCTGGAAGTCCTTGCTTCTCCCCTTTAAGAAAAGAGGACCATCTGGCCATTTTAGACATCGGGACTCTGAAAACCCTGAGTGTGTCAGGAAGGGGAGCGGCAGGGTACAAGCAGCTGGAAATGTATTTAAGTCCAGTAGCTTATTTCTGAAATGTAGCTTTTTCTGTCATGTTTTGTTTTCTGTTTCCCTTTGGGGAAAGAGAAACACAGTCTCATTCAGCTTGAGAAAAATCCAGTCTGAGTCGGAGGACGTGGGTCTGGGATTCCGATTTTGTTCCGGGCAACGCTGGCTGAGTCCCTCTCCACTCCAGGCCCCGCCTTCTGGGTCCGCACACGCCCACTCTTTGCTTCTGCACTTGCTCCTGCGAAGCTCAGTGAAGATCGGCAAGATACACGCATGCCGAGTGAAAACACTGTTCTATGTTTCTGTGGGTTATAGGAGCATCGTCATAGCTTAGATACTACCAAAATCCAGAGGGGGGACTCTTTCTCTAATGCATTTTCCTCTTTTTTCATAGAAACCTTGGCGTTCATTGAGGGCTTCTAATCCAGCAGCTGTTTTATTTGCTTGCTGTTTTTTTTTCCTGTGGTTGGACAATCGTATACAAGCAATTTATAAAACGGAGAATGTATGACAACTCCGTGGACAGAAACACTTCAGCTGAATTACAGAGACTTAAAATGTGAAGTAGGAATATGTTTTCTGGGGAAAAAAATCACACACACACACAACCAAACCCTCCAAAATCAACGTCTTGAAGACAGATGAGGAAGCGGACTGTGCGCAGGCCAGCCTGCGCACTGGGCAGCACGGGCCGCCACCCAGCGACGGGCCGCGGGGAGGCAGCCAGGTTAAAATAGCTCTTCCTTTGTTTGGGCCAAAAAATTTTCCATGATTTTGCCCTTTTGAAACAACGTCAGGAAGTCATTATTTTACAGGCCCTGGGACCCCATCTCGGTTCCATAAACAAGCTGCCGGTGACGTTTCTGCAAGGCGGGGGCGGGTTTGGATCCCTGACCCCGCCAGAGTGACAATTTCCCTCCGAGAGCTGGAAAACGGACCCTGCCGTCCTGACCTCGTTTGTGTTTGACTTCCAGTGACTCAGAGCTCTTCGAGAAGCGTGCTCCGGTGCCAACCTTCCTTGGCATAAGGCCCAGGGCAGCCCAGGCTCCCTGTCACTCTCTCCTCCACGCTGGGCCGCGGGCTCCCGAAGGCCCGCTCGCCCCCGCCCGGCGGAGGGGGGCGGCCGCCTGCTCACGTGCCCTCACGAGTTTCTGCTTGACTTGAATAACACACGCACACAACCGCTCAGCACAGACCCCGGTCCACTGCATCATGAAATGAAAGGTGTTATCTAGGTTTTGCCAAGAATTTTGGAAGAGAAAGGAGAGCGAGAGCGAGAGCTGGCCTTCGTGGAGCAGTGGGCGGGGGCCCGGGCTGGGGCAGAGCGGCGTGGGTGGCCGCCCCTCCCTCTTTCCCCGGAATCCCTGAGGACAGATGAGAGCGTCCCTTCTGAGCCTGCGAAGCGCCGACTGGCTCTCTGAGCTTCTGGAAACAGAGCCCAGGCTTGCAGTGGTATGAGAGCAGGGGAGGGGCGGCGCTGCCACAGACGTAAGTGATGGGGAAAGGCCTTGGGCGATTTTTTTCAGATGTGAAAATCGGCGTCTCAATATTTAGCAGAAATGAATGGACTATCAAATGAGCAAACTAGGGGAAAAAAAGCTTCAAGATGGAATCACGAGGGTCCCAGGAAACAGCACTCGAAAAACCAACTGTAAAATAAGCCAATTAACTGAAGTTCACGGGTTTGCATTACTACCTAGGAATTTCAACTGTCCAAGTGTGTGTGTGTTCCGTGACCGCAGGTCACCAGCTATCAGGCACTACAGGAAATCAGACCTGGGGCCACCGACCCATGCCAGCAGGGGGCGCTGCGGACAGTGAGAGCCCCCAGAGCCTGAGCCAGAGGCCCTGGGCCGGCGGCCGGGCGGTCAGCCCTACCAGTCCAGCTTCAGCTCCGCCTTGCTCCACACGTACTTCCCTCCTCGCTTGAGAAACGCCTCTTCATCAAACCCGCTGAACTTGATGGCTTCTTCCACTCCAACATCCAGGATGGACTTGGAAGGATCCTTCCGCCCCTGCCTGCAGTTCAGGAAGCGCATCTAGAAGACGAGAAATTCATGACAGTATAAGTTATCCTGTAAAACTCAGTTCTGGAGCTTAATCCAAGATTTTTTTTTTTAATTCCAATCATTTCAATAACTGTTTATTGAGAACCGTGGGCCGGATGCTGTACTGAGAACGCCAAGCTCTGCGGGCACCTTGTCTGCAGTCGCGCGGCTCACCGTAACTCAGGTGCCACGTTCCGTCCCTTGAGTGCATGACAGAACTGTAGACGTGCCCCCCCCACCGAGGTGTGTGTCCCTCCCTGGACGGGGCGGGGGTGGGAGGCGGATCGTGTCCCCGGGGACATCTACATTATGCCCGGAAACTGAGCTGCAGGGAGCAGCGTCAAAAGGCAGAGGAGCCTGGCGCAGCACGGGGCGTCTGGGCCAGCGCAGGTAGGTGGGCGCTGCTGAGCGACCCCCGCGCCCGGGGCTGTCTGAGTGCGAACGCGACAGAAGCTTCTTTGGAGGAAAGGAGAGAGTTGACAGGAGAGGAGCGGCAGAGGCACGGGAGCCGCCGCGGCCCCGGGCACTTCGTAGGCCCCCAGAATACTTGTGGAACCAACGTGCTAAGGCAGATTCGGTCCCGCTGTGTTTGCTCCAGTTGTGCGGGGGCGCGGAGAGTCTGTTGAGGAGCTTTGGTCAAAATCCCCAGCCGACGGCGATAATTTGGATTCCAAAAATAAATTCTGTTTGAATCTACCGCTCTCTCCGAACCCATAAACTGAACATTTGCAGTATCACCTTTCCTCTATGCCCCCCAAAAAGAAAAACATGAACTGGCTGTGAAGTATCTTTGATTAACTTGAAAACAATAAAGTGCTAACAGTCACTGTAAGTGTTTCTGAAAACGCCAAATCCAATTTAAATATTGACGTCATGGTTCTTGTTGGAACTCACTGTTTAAAAACAGGTCTTTGAATGGCATTATTTGTTCTGATCTAGAAATATTGGCAAGGTTTTATAAATTTGGACCAAAAAAAAAAAAAAGGGGGAAGGGAAACGTGGGATATTTGTCCCCTTTGGAAGGGTGGGTTTTCCTTCACCTTTGGGACACTGTGACGGTGGCTTTGGAGAGGACCTGTCACCTCTTCTCCCCAAAGCCAAGGCTCCCAGCCAGGCAGTGAGTTGACATCCTCCGAGGTATTAAAGGGGCAGAAATGGGGGCTATGGCTTCCCTCCAAGGTGCCTGAGACGCCGCATAACACAGGGCCACTTTGCGTCACGCCACCTTCCGTGTGACACCCACGGATCCACCGCCACACAGGGGACACGGTCCCCGGGGGCTCAGTGTGGACACGGGACCCCCGGGTGGGGCTCATGCCCCCTCCTGTGCTCAGCTCAGAGCCTGACAGAGTCGTCAGGCGCAGTCCCTTGAACGCTGCTCTGTGACGACCGACGCGTGAGTGGCTGGCCAAGGACAAAGGCCAGCTACGTGGTTACACGTGCAACTCCACGCTGGCCTCACTGCTTAATTAACTTTTAAATAATATTCTTATACTTCATGGGAAATACTCACATATTCATCCAGAATCAGGTAGGAATCCTTCATCTGCAAAGGAGAAATTGGGTCACATTCAGCCCCAAGGGCGCATCCCGGGGCGCGCGCACCGCAGCCTGCCTGTGTGCCATCGGGGGTGGCCCTCACAGGGGCGCCTCCCCCACCGAGCACGTCGTCCCCCCGGGGCAGCTGGCTGTGTCCCTTCAGATCCCACCGAGTCGCAAAGGCTGGATTCTCTGCCCCACGGGGCCCGAGGTCGCCCCGAAACCCCTCTCACGGCGAAGGTCCCAGCGCCTCTCTCCCCGCAAGGGGCGGGAGAGCCCTGTTCTCCCTTACTCGGCATTCCTGAGGGGCCTCTAATGCTCCCCCTTTTAACCCATCCGTTACCAGAGAGAGCTCACACCCGCCCTCCACGGGGCGCTCAGCCCCGGCTGCACAGGGCGCCTGGGTCTGCTCTGAGGCCCCGCCGCGGGTGGGGGCCCCGTCCCAACACTGCCCCTCCCCTCTCTCCTCGAGCCCCCGCCACGTGGCCTGCGGAGCCCTCGGGACGAGATGCCCCCTTTGGAACTAGTCTCAGAGTGTGACGGTGAACAAACAGACGTCTGCCGGAGATGACCTTGTCATTGCACTCGGGCACCAAGCAGGCCACGCCTCGGTGGCGGTCCAAGAAGGCCTGGAACTCCTCTTTGCTGATGACGAATCTCTCGGCCTCTCTCAGGGCGCCCTCCCCGGCGTTCTCGCCCTCGATGATGAGGCACTGGAACACCTGCGGAGACAAGGGTGCCCCGTCACGGGTCCGCCCGCCTCGTTCCCGGACCCAGGCGGTGCGGCCGCCGCCCACGGAGGGACGTCCTAGAAAGACCTTGCTCTCGGGGAATGGGAGCTCGCCCTGACATTTAGGAACACAAACAGTCGTAAAAGGTAGATTTACCAGAACAGCCTGGGTTTTAGATCTGATCTAGTCTTACGATTGGATTTTTCAACTATGAAATAACAAACACTCCCTGAAGGGCGTGGGGACCATAAAGAAGCATCAAGAAAATAAGCACGTCATTTGGAACCCCCAAACCAAGAAATCGGTATTTCCAAAATGCTGCCCTTTCCCCGAGTGTTAATATGCCCTCCTGAAGGCCTCTAGAACGCATTGAACAGGAGGACGGTTGTCCAAAGCCATGAACCCCGTTTCTCAGCATTCCTTTAAGTAAATAAATAGGCGGTGGGTGTAAAGGGAGGCGTCAAGGAAGCCGTCATCGAAAGGGAACCCCGCCTGTGCAAACTGCTCAAGGCGGCAGCAGGCGGCAGCTCGGCACGGGCGACCGCCGCACGGCCCGGGCTGCGGGGTCTTCACGCGAGAGCGTCGCGCGACATTCCCATCAGCGCCCCAGAGATCTTAAACGCCCTGAATGTTGCCTTCTTTGCTCACTGCCTCCTGCTCGCCTCGTCTCCTGCCTGCGCAGCCGCCCAGCGCCTGGCCTCCCCCCGTGTGCCCCCGGGGCTGTCGTCCTCTGGGAACCCGAGGCGTCCTGGCACCGTTGCACCCGCTCCCCCTTAGCCCCCAGCCCCAGTCAGGCACAGGGCGGGGGGCGGGGGGCAGAGGCCCGGCGGGGAGGGGAGCCCCCCACAAGATGTGGAGTCCCGACCTAATGTGAGTACTGGACACGGAAGATGTGCCTGGGCGTTTTCCCAGTGACTTTGGTTCCAGGGCCCGCTGGTGAGAATGCAAGGGCTCTTGGGGGACAGCCAGGTCTTGGGGGCTCTAGGGCGGCGGGGCGGGGCGAGACTGGGAGGGAAGGCCAGGGGAGCCGCTGGCTGCCGGGGAGCAGGCCCGCAGGAGTCCCCGCAGGTGGCAGCACCACGCCCAGCCCCTGAGGGCCACCGCAGGGTCCTCCGCTCCTGGGAGGGCTCAGCGAGGGAGGTCTGTCCGCAGAGCACAGGCCTCAGGGGAGAGGAGGCAGCCTGGGAGAGCAGGTGCTGGAATGGGAGGGATTGTGCAACAACATCAGGCAGGGTGGCGGGCGGAGGGGGGGGCCTGCTTACAGCCTGCGGGCACCCAGGCTCTGGCGCCGAGCCTGCTCTGCACGCAGGGGCGGCTCGCCCTCTCCCGCCGAAGAAATCTGGGTGTTGGAAAGGCAGCTCCAGAGCGAACCCGGCAAGTGGAAGCTGGAGGAGGAGCCGAAAAGATGGGAGGAAGGGGCTGTTTCTTAGCTGCGCCGCGGAGGAGAGGGGGCAGGAGCCATGAGCAGATCAGGGGCTGGAGAGGACACACACACACACACACACACACACACACACACACACACCCCGCAACAGTGAGGAAGACCCGCGCCGCGAGGAGCGGCGGAACGGGGTGGGGAGGCGGCTCGCGCCCGGGAACTGTAAGGCCTCGGAGCCAGCCCGGCCCCGGCCCGGCCCCGGTCCGGCCCCTCCGCTGGTGCGCAGCCTGTGCTTCTCCTGTCAACCCCCTTTATTATTATTATTGTTTCACTTTTTCGGAGTTCCTCCGAGACCCAGGAGAGGGGCTACGCCTCTGCTTTCTTCTAGATGTAAACCGTGTTTAAGTTCCACATACAGCAATTAAAAAAATGCAAAAAGTAGGTATCATTTCCAGCTTCCCCTAACCCATTTCCACACATTTTAGGGTAACGTCGGAAAAGCCATATGATAACCCTCTTCCCCGCCTCTCGCAGGCTGATCCGGGCGCTGACGTGGACCTAAAGGCGTCCCGGGCAGCTCTGAAAGGAGCAGGCCTGTGGGCTGCATCCTCTGCCCTGGGCATGACTTTCTTCCCCCCGCCCTCCCCAGCCCCGGGAACGCCGTCCATTTTTCTGGCCCAGCCAAAGGCCACCTCCTACGCGAAGCCTTCCAGGCACCCTGGCAGAATCAAACGTTGCCTGGCCCGCCCTCCCACGGCACCCCAGCCCACGCAGCCTTCCATTGCGGGGTTCCCCTGTCTCTTCTCCTTCCTGGAGCTGAACTCCGCGCCTGGTCCTTGGCGGCATGTCCTCAGAGGCCCGGGCGCGGACCTGGGTCCGCTCTGTCACGGACCCCCACGCGGCTCGTGAAGAGTACAGACTGGCGCCAGCCCCCCGCCAACGTCTGCCCCCTCCCCGCCCCTTGCCCAGGGCCCTATTTTAGGACCGTGGGCATGGGGTGAGGTCCAGGAAGCTGGATTTTTGTTTTTTGTTTTTTTTCAACAGCTCCCTGAGTGGATTCTGAAGAACAGCCAGGGTTGGCAAACTTTACCTTGCGTGGGCTTACGTGTTGTTGCACTTTGGACTCTCAGCAGCTGGTAGTGGGGCCGGTCCTGAAGCACAGCTCTTGGTGAACGGATTTTGCTACAACTTGGGAAAGGCCTTGCCTGCCCTACCTTTTAATAATTCAGTGGGAAACGTACTAACAGAAGGTATGAAGAGCACATATCCTTTCACCAATGAGCCAAGAGCTGTAAGCAGCACCCCGGAAGGGCTGTCTTCACAAATGCACACGGGGCGCTGCCCGTGGGCCGCCCCTTCAGAGCATCTCGGAGCCCCTGGTATGTCTCTGGCCTTTGTCCTCAATATTCCTGAAGGGCATCAGCCCCAGTTTTCAGGACAGGAAACTGAGGCAAAGAGAAGGTAAGTGGCTTAAGGCTGAACAGATAAGAGAAACGCCGGGGACCCGGCTTCCCAGCAGGCACTGCCCCTTCAGACGCCGCTGGAGCCTCACGGTCCCTGAGGCCGTTTGCTCCTGGACATTTTAAGATCATGGTCAGCAAAAGCAACACTGCCCTCACCTTCCAGCGGACGGGGTTCAGCTCCTCGATGTGCTCTTGCATGTCCTCGTCCACGTTGAACCGGTTGATGACCGAGTTGATCTTGAAGGCCACCCTGTAGTCCCTGCACCATCTCCGCAGCTTCCGCAGGTTTTCCACGTGGTTTAGCTTTCCTTGGCCGCGGCCAATGAGGACGTTCACGTCCTCATTAAAGCTGTCACAGGAGACGGCCAGGATGTCCAAGTAGTGGCCTGGGGGAAATGAGCATCGCTGAGACGTCTGGCCAGGGACCACACCCTTGCGGCCGGTTTCCCCCAGTGATAAAACCAACCCGGTCTGTGCGCATGCTTTAATTTCTTAGAAGAAAAAAAAATTTTTTTTTCTCATGCCCTCCAACTCCCTGAAGTGTGCTTGCTACTTGGTGCCTGTGTCAAATACCACAGAAAACATACAGCTACTGAGGTGACAGCCAGGCTCCCGCGTGACAGCGTGGAGATGGCATGTGGTGCGCGGCGCCCCCGAGGCGCTCCCCTGCGCTCCGGCGCCGGCCGCGGGCTTGGCTCTGCGCGCGCCGGCCGGCCTGCGCCCTTCCTCGCCCCATCAGCGCCCCGGCTCGGCAGAAGAACCCTAATATTTTGACTGTGCGCTTTGTCCTCCCCTTGATCTCTCTCTGTATCTGAATCACCATCTAAACCTTCACAGAGACCCTGGTGTTAGACGCTGAGGATGCCCAGATATCGGCAGCGTGGGTGGGGGCTGCAGAGCGCAGCCACTCCCTGAGACGCAGCTGGGGAGCGACCGCGATAGGGCGTCCCCCCGGAGCACGGAAAACGCTGGCGAGAGTCAGCGTCGCCCCGGTCCCTCCCCTTGCCTCGGCCGCGTTCCCTGGTGCCCCTTCAACTTCTGCTGCTGCTCCAAACCATCCACCGGCCTCTTCTTTAATCTACTTCTACTATTTTTATGTCGATACAGTATACATTCAGTATTATTCTGTATTAGTCTCAGGTGTTCAACAAGGGGGTTAGGAAATCGGGCACTAGACAGAGTGGTCCCCCATCGCTCATCTCTGAAGGACGGCCATTCTCTGTCCCCCAGCCGCGTCCCTGCAGCTGACCGAGTGGGAGTCTCCCTCGTTTTCGGGGCAAATGCAGAACTGATGGCAAAAGTCAATGCTTAAAATGGCTCCCCAATGATCAAAGCAGGTGGTACAGAAACACTGAGAACAGCTCTTTTAGTCCAATCGCTTATTTCAGAGATTAACTTTTTAAAATGGTTATTTCTGTGAGTATTTAAAGAAATCGAACACGGAGAGCAAATGAACAGGACGGCTGGGGCCTGTCAGCTCAACTGCAAGCCGTGCTCGTGTGCCCGAGAGCCGTTAGGCCAAGGCCGTGGCCCTGGCTCGCGGCCGTTGCACCTTGGAACGCACAGAGAGTTATGCTGACAGTAATTCCTGTTATCTGTCTGGCCAGGCGTGTATATGGGCAGCTCAGTAGAATGTAAACACCCTGGGCCCAGCGCACGGCTTGGCAAGAGCTTAACATGCGCGTGTTCGGTCCCTCCCTCCCGGGCCCCAGCAGGCCGGGACCACGGCCCGCGGGGGAAGGAAACGCAGCCCCCCACCCCCACGTCCCCTGGCGACAGCTGGAGGGCCCCGGAGGCTGCTCACCGTAGTTCACGAACCACCGCTCCCGGATCAGGCTCCCGTTGCTCACGATGCTCACGCTGGGCAGGCGCAGGTCCCGCTTGCAGAAGCGCACGAGCTTGCCCAGATACTCTCCGCGGTCGTGGAGGAAGGGCTCCCCACCCGAGAAATTGATCTTCTCCATGCCTGGGGGAGACAGAACGCCTGTCTTCCTGCCTGCCTCCGCGCCACGCGCCTCCTGTGGCTTTCATGGCAAACGCCGAGTGTTTTCCCTGTCACAGATGTGCCATGAAGCTGCTCCTTACCCCCCCGCCCCAGGCCAGTCCCCCGCCAGCCCCGTTTTATGGGAATACCATGAGTGTAACCCAGGGTTTCCCAAAAGTTCTATATATGTAACCTGAAGTTGTTTTCTGTTTCTTCCTTGTATTGCAATACATGCCTGTAATGCAGGGAGTTTGTCGCGGAGATGGTAGCATTCCATAGAAGCCCCAGGGTGCGGTGAGGCAGCCCAGAGATTTGCAAAGCAGGGCACGCTTCCCCCTCCCCAGTCAAGAACAATCTAGAATGCCTGTATGTTTTAAAATAGATTTGTGGTCAGTGGTTTGCCCACATATAATGTTCAGGCTGAAACCACTTTGCACCCTGAATTCTAAGGGCCTTGCTTACTGCCTTCGAGGTTTTCACAGTCCTGTTCAGAAGCCTGAGAACACTCTTAAAAGTACAACCCTCCCTAAGACCACGGCTTTCTCTCTCCCCGAAGCGTTCTTTCCAACGTTCTGCAATTTCAAGATGACGCGCCTTAATGGAAACGCTCAGCACGCCCCCAAGTTCCCTGAGAGTGTTTTCCGTGAATCCATCCGTTCACCAAACGTGGCGCCCGTGAAATAGCGAACGCTGGACTTGGCAAGGTAATCAGTGCAGCCACACGGTCGCACCGCTTTTAAAAATGCTGCCTTGACTCAGTTTCCAGGCCCCGGCTGGAGGCGGCAATTCCTCTCCTTGAAGAGCCCGTTGCCTAAACACCCAGCACCTGCGACCTCCAATGCACAGCCTGGGCCGCTGCACCCCCGTGCACCCCGCACACCCCCGGCCCCCGGGGTGACGCACGCTGGCGTGTGCTGGGCCGGCTGGCCCTGCCCTGTGTGTTCTTTCCTACAGAAGCCGCAACAAAGGCTTTTGCCCAGAGGTGTGCCCGCCGCCTGGCGACTGACCCCAGGACCGCCCCTGGGCCCCGGGCGGCAGGCTGTGTTCTCCCCAAGGAACTTCGTAAGGAGGGCTGCCCTTCACCTCCCCCCGCCCCGCCCCCCGCCCAGAGCCGTCCTGGGACAGAGCGCGCTGCGTCACAGCGGGCAGGCTTATCTGGTGCCCTTTTCTCTCCCCGCTGTGTCTCTGATGGGACAGGGATGGCTGGTGTCACCACGGTACTTGTGAGCCAGGGGGCTCCTCGTGGGCAACCGCTGTGATCCAACAGGACAGTGCATTTTTAACAAAAGTAGGAGGCACGAGCCCGTGGCGGGGCCCCCAATGAGTCTGAGGGCCAGGGGCAGAGGGGAAGAGGAATGACAGCCCTGGGGGACAGGGGTGGGGACGTGGCGAAGCTCACAGGCCGAGAGGAGCCAGCTCCCAACGGTGTCGGCGTCCGAGGGGCGGCCACAGTGCCGCCCAGACCGCCACCTGGGGGGCTCACGCTGGGAAATGCTATCAGTCTCCTCTGTTGCAGAGCCAGAGAGGTAACTACTACAGAGGCATCTTCAGCCAGGCTAGTGATTTTTAATTTTAAATATATTGGACATTTAAAGAAAAATGAACTTTAATTATAATGTAAATTTTGTATTATCACCAAAATAGATTTTCTTCTAGTAGCCAGAAATCTCACTTACAGGCCACGTCACCTGTATTATACCTTAATAATTTTAATTCTTTTGCTTTTTGCTGCTCTGCTTCGGTGTTTTTTTTTTCTACCTTGTCTTCCAAATCACTGATTTGATTTTCTGTTTCATCTAACCTGCAGTTTATTCCTTCCAATGTACTATTTCAGATACTGCATTCTTTATTTCTGACTGGTCCTTTTTTATGGTTTCTATGTCTTTTTTCATGTGTTGAGCATCCTTATAATCATTACTCTAAACGCTCTCTCTGATAAATCGCTAACCTCCATTTCACTTGGTTCCCCTGGAGAAGTCTCTTGTTCTTTCATTTGCTGCCTGTTTCTTTGCTTCCTCCTTTTAGCTGCTTCTTTGTGTGTGTTCCTATGCACTAGATAGATCTGCAGAGACTCTGGGGCAGGCTTACGTCAGTCACTTCCCGTGGCTGGCCCTGGGTGACTTGTCTGAATCTATCAGCGATCTGCAGCTTGTGGATCCCCCTGCTCAGCCTGGGTGTGTGTGGAGAAGATCCAGCTGTGCACTGAGGCCGGCTTTTACCAGCACCGCACCCAGGGAAGGGTCAGCTAAAGTCTCAAAGTGCCCAGAGGGCCGCCTGTCCCTGCAGACTGTCAGGCTTAATCCCTGAGAGCGCCTCCAGCTGTGCCCCTCAGCAGCCGAGCTTCAGCTCCACAGGATGAGGCAAGAGGGAGTCCTGCGGGAGGGGCCGCTGCTCCCCCCAGGCTCTTGTTGCACGGAGAGGAGTGGTCTGCCAGAGAAAGGCGGCCTGTGCCTCCGCTCTGTCCCCAGAGCTGCCAACCCCAGACTCTCCTTTTGCGTCGCTACTCCACCCTGCCTTCCCTCCGCCTCACAGCCCAGGGTCAGCGGCTGCAAATGAGATTTTGTGGGTTGGCCCTTAAGAGGCTCTCTGTGTCTCTAGCTGTCTCTCCCTGGTGGACAGGAACCCGCTGCTTTTCACAGCTGGATGTTATTTAGGATCCTTCCCTGGTTCTGGTGCTTGGGGCCGGGAAGCCCAGCTTGGGGATTAGACCCTGCGGTTCTCAGAGGGAACCCCCCAGCCACTGAAGTATCTCCCCAGCACTGAAATATGCCGCCGGTGAGAGCAGAGCAGGCCCTCCCGTGCCTTCTCCGCACCCCCTGCCGGTGTCAGTGTGATGTGGTTTCTTCCATCTGTCCCTGGTTCTAGACCTTCTCTCCAGGGTGTGTACAGGCAGTTATTTAGGATGATCTTCCTATAATTTAGTTGTAATTCCAGTTTGGCCTTGGGAGGATCTTAGTGTAGTTTCCACCTATACTCCACCTCCCCCTTTGGACCCTCTAGTTTAACCATTTTAATTCACTTGGCTTTTATTGACTTAAGACTGAGAAGTCAGTATATGAAATTATTAATTATAACTCTTTGCAATAGTTTATAATCTCTAGAAATACATAGGCATTTACTTATTTGTTCTTCGTAAAAATCGTCTGAGCTCGGTATATGAGTTATTCTCTACATTGTAAAGATTATTAAACTGATACTCAGAAAAGTTAGATGTTGGGGCGAATCTTATACCTGCGGAGCTCAAGCCCAGGTCTTTGTGAATCAAGACTCGAAGACCTTTCCACAAGACAAGATTGCTTCTCATTCCCTCACTCATCCATCATCAATTCACCTATTCCAAAACATTTTTAGGCCCCTATTACATTCTGGAGACTTTGCGAGGCATAAAGATGCACAGATGCTAAGGTTCAGCCTTGGGACTCGGACTCTCTGGGAACTCAGATGTTCATCACAAAGCAACAGAACGAAGCACACAGTACCATTTAAAAAGTGCTATAATACGCATGTGTAACAAGTGCGCAGATGAAGGGGAGAAGACCTAAACTCTGCCCAAAGAGAACCAGGAATAATTTTAAGGAGCTTTGAAAGTTCACCGACAGAGACCAGGGTGACCGGCATGCCAGGAAGAGAGGACATCCTCATGGCAGGCTTGGTGACGCAGGTGTTAGGGGACCGGGGGGGTGGGGAACGTGATGTGTGTGCAGTATAGGGGCCGTGAGGCCTTGCGGGGGGGGGGGGGGGGGCGGATGCTGACGGAAACGCTGAGCTGGCCAAGGGCCGTGGAGGCTTTGCTTACGAGTGCGGGACAAGAAAGCACGCGAGACGGTCCAGCGGAAGAGCTGAGGCGTCACAGGGACGTTTCAGCACAATAGCTTGCTTTCCACTGGGGACAGCAGAGACAGAGAGATGGAGTGCAGCTGTCTGGCTGGGAGTGGTGGCCCCCCAAGCCGGACCCCACGCAACGGCCCGGCAGGTCGGCGCTTGGATCGGTGGCGATCACCGAGCCACTATGATGGGGAGCAAAATAAGTCAGAGGCAATAAAATGCAAACTGTGTGATTTGATTACACAGAATGCAAAATCAGGCAAAACCTGTCTGTGCGCCAGGAGATAAGCCAGTGGCTCCCCTGGGGCAGAAGGGCTGCAGCCTCTGGAAGGCGCAAGCCCTTCTGGGGTGGCGACAGCTCCTTCTCGAGATGCACACGCGGGTTTCCTGCCGGGGATCACGAGGCGGACCCTCAGGATGTGGACAACTGCGGGCGTGCGCGCTTTACTTCCATGAGAAAAGCTAAACCCGTCGAGCGAAAAGTGGGCGATGCTATGGAAGCTGCTAGCATGGAGGTGCCCTGGGAGAGACGGGACAAGGAAGGAAGGAAGGAAGACAGAGGCGGGCGGAAGCGCGGGCGGGTCCCCTCGGAGATCCTGGCTCGGGGCTCTGCGTGGAAGTTCAGCGAGCGCGTCTCGAGTCTCGAGAGCAAACTCACTGCCACATCGGAGTTATAGTTTCTTTGAAGGTTCGCCTAAGGGCACGTTCATAACCCGAAATGGAAGGTGCCGCTATTGCTCCTAAGAGAAACGCTTTGCTTTTGTTTTGGACGCGCCTCTTTCGCTGTGTCTGGGAAACCCTGATTCACCGCTGCTTTGGACGAACTCAGAAAGTACCACAACCTGCCCATTCTGCCCGGTCCCCAGCGCTGGCTGGACGGGCTGCCGTGGGCTCTGCAGTCGGGGAGACCTTGGCGCCCGCCCCCCAAGTCAGAACATGGTCCCCCAGAGCGCTGTCCTCCCCCTGCGCTGGGCGACGCCTCCGGTCCTCCGCCCTGCGTGTGCCCTCCCCTCCCGTGCCCGTCCCCGACCTCGTCCCGCTGGCCGGTTTCCTCGGGGGCCGGGACTCACCGGCCTCCTTGAGCAGCCGCAGGCCCCTCTGCGCCTCCTCCAGGGGCAGAACGAAGGACGTCTTGGCGGTGTGGAAGCAGAAGCCGCACTTGTAGTTGCACTGGCGGGTGAAGTGGTAGTTGACGCTGGTGGGGACGAGGGGCTCGTCGCCGCTGTCTCCTTCCTCTCGGGTCCCCTTGGCTGCTTCCTTGGGCGGCTGCCGCTCTCCCCTGTCAGCCCCCGCCAGCCAGAAGGTCGCTCTGAGCCAGAGCAGCAGGGGGACCAGGCTGCCCCACAGGGAGCCCAGGGGCTTCCGGAAGGCGCCCAGCAGCTTCGCCGCCGAGGCCAGGGGAGCGAGGACCCACATGGTGCCAGGCGCCGTGGCTGCCCGGCCGTCCGGACTCTCCCTTTATATGAGTGCACGCCAACTGTCACACGGAAGGTAGACACACCCTCTTTGAGTCACCCTCAGCTGAGTTTGAGTTTCGATTTTTCTCTTCATGAAAATGAAAGCTGGAGCAGAGCCAAGACTCACGGCTAGGATTCGGGGGGGCTGCCTGGCTGGGCTGCGCCTCGGGGCTGGCCTGTGGCCCAGTCGTCAGGCTCCGGTCGAGATGCGGGTGTCTCCCTGCCCCTTGGGCACAGCGATAGGATGAGCTAGGGAGCCACCTCGGCCGCGGCCGCGTTACTCAGCCAGACAGAACACCTAGCAGCTGCCGCCCCTCCCCTTTCACACACTGGGCTCCCGGGGAAAGTTTGCTGGGAAAGCCAGGTAACGAGAAGGACCCACCCCCGGACCCAGGCAGGGTGACACCATCCTGAGGACCCCATGAGACCACCCTCCGCACGCACGCAGGGCTCACGGCTTCTTGAGCTATTCAGCTCCTGCTTTGTCACAGCGCAAGAACTGAGACATCTATATTTTCCTGCATTTTTCCACCGTCTTTCACAGACCGCAGGACAGCCAGGTGCTTTCCTAACGTGCTCCTTAAGGGACAAGAACCGCTGGGGCTTGCCGTTTATTTTTACGGTTTTCTTAGAAAGTGTTGCCGAGTTCTGTACTGAACGGTTCTTCCTTTACGCCCTCCCTTATCTGATTTGCATGGAGCGCGCGGCGCGGGGCGCGGGGAAGCTGGCCGGTCTGAGCGCTGCAGCCACGGCCGCCGCTGCCCTGAGCTCCCCGCTGGCCAGCCTGCGGCTCCGAGCCAGTGTGCACTTCCCCACCGCATTTCCTCCTCCGTAAGCCCGGAGAGCTCATGAGATTCCCTGAGGTGTGTGAGCCGCTGAGCACGGTGCAGGGACACCGGTCGGCGTTGGCGAGAGCTGGCCGGGGTGGCTGCAGCGGGGCTCTGGTCTGAAAGGGAGCAGCGCCCCCGGCCCGCCGCCGAGAAGGAAACCGAAAGCCAAGTGCAGTTGCCAGCTCTGCAGCGAGGGACGCGAGCCAAGCGGCTGCTCTCCCAGCCAGAGGCTTGCGAACGCGCGCCACGGCCGGGCACAGCCCAGAATCACCTTTTTGTTAGATCACATGTTTGGGAAGAAATGAAAAGCAAACCCGTTTCCATTTTCAGTCAAGGGCCAGGGAAAGCCCAGAGGGTGGCCTCGCAAGCTTTCGAAACTCAACACGCTCCGGCGTGAATCCGAGTTCGGCTGATCGTGTTTCATTTGGGGTCGACGTCTTGCCCTGCTCCACCTGCTTAGCACCTCTGGGAAGTACAGGTAGTGGGGCCTCACTCACGCAGGACACGCTAAGGCTTAAAGGACACGTGCACTTTGTGCACTGCGAGCCGTGGTGGGCGTGAGGCGTTAGCAGAGTCCTGCGTCCACGCGGCAGGCTGTGCCCGGCGCCGCCCCTCGCGGGCGCTGGCTCAGCTCACACCTGGAGGACCCCACAGCGCACGGGGCCTACGGGGCTGAACGAGGCTCTAAAGCCTTGCGATTCTGCCCAACAACGGATCAGCATTATCCCATGAGCCCTCGTCGTGGCTGTTTTTTAAACCCTGGGAATTCCAGTTATTCGGGCTACTTCACGCTCACTAGGCTTAAGCGTGTGAAGAGCCGTTATTGCTCCTTCCGTTCAACCCAGGCCCACTTCTTTCACTCCTTCATGTATTCGTTCACTCGCTCGCTCGCTCATTGAGCCAGGCAACCTTTCCTTCCTTCTTTCTTTCCTTCGACGAAGGTTCCTGGGCAGCCTCGTGCGTATCAGGTAAAAGGTTAACATGTACAAAAAGTATCTATAAAATGAAGACGTCAAAGGCCCTGCTCGGGGAAGAGCTCACGGACGTCACAGTCACTCTGGTATTTTCAGGACCTGCGCGTACTTCTTCCTCACTCCTCTTTCTCCGCCCGTCTCAGAGGGAGGCTCAGGAATGTGAGCCTTTCTTCTTCAAAGTCAGGGCTTTCCAAGGCCAGAGGATTTAGTGTTTCCCCCCTCTCCTCACTGCCTGAGCTACGTGGGCTGGAGGGGGGCGAGGCAGACCCCCGCTGGCTCCCCTCCGCTCCCCGGGCCGGCCCCCTCTGAAGGCATCCCCACGAAGCTGGGTACCGGCCAAAGGCTGCCCTCATTTTTCTTAATCCCGGGACATTTTCCTCCAAACATGCCAACCTCCCTGGCATGTTCCAGACTCTCCGGTGCGGGCAGCGCCTGCGGCAGCGGCCCACATTGGCCGCGTGCCTTGGTGGGCTGTGGAACTGGTTTAGTTCATTGTAACAGTCTTCTTTTTTTTCCTTTGGTAAATCATTTAGGAAAGCACACTATACATATTTCACACGTGTACATTAATTCATACATGTACAGCAGAGATATTTTGACAGAGCGAATGGTTAGATGTGACGACCACCTTGCTTTAAAAAAAAAGGAAGGAAGGAAGGAAGGAAAGAAACTTTACCAAGACCTTGAAGGCTCCGGCACCTCCTCGCAGGCCCTGAAGCCGACCTCTGGCCGGGAGGTAGCCCTGGCCTGCCATCCACAACTGTACCCAGGGCTTGCCTGCTCCTCAGCGTTTGCGGGGCCCACACAGCATGTTCCTTCTCTGACGCCCCTTTTACTCGGTGTTCGTAGACGTATCCGGCGTGCTGAGTTTGGCAGCAGCTTGCTCGTGTCCACAGCCGCCTAGGGGTCCAGGGTTTGGCCGAACCCCTTGAGGTACTGCTCTCGTGCAGCGAGCGTTTGGAACGTTTTGCTGTTGTGCTGTTCTGTTTGGTCAACATACACGTGCATTTTTGAGGCAGGAATGGAGTCACTGGTTCATAAGCATTAAGCATGTCCCCTCAGGACACACCTGCGCCACATTTTCCAGGGTGCTGGGCCCTGTGGGCGCTCCCACCCGAATAATGTCGGGGTGCCGGCGGCCCCACGTCTCCCTTCCCCCTCGGCGTCATCAGTGAGCCCTTGTGTTTTGCCGGCTTCATCGCAGCCACTGTGTGCGAGGGGAGTGGTTACTGCCCTGTCTCTTCAGTTTCCAGTTCTCTGATGACTGACGATGTTCAGCCCTTTCTAATATGCCTTCCTCCCTATTTGGATATTCTCCTTTGTGAAGCACAGGGTCAAGTCTCGTGTGCATTTTTGTACTGGGTTTTCGGCATTTTTCTGATCAATTTGCAAGAAGTGGTCGTGAATCCTGTGCTTTCTTAGGCATAGGTGTTGCAAACATCTTCTTCTACTCTCTGGCTCTCCTGTTCGCTCACTTGCTGGTTGGGATTTCGTTCTGGTTACGAGTGTGGTTTTACTAATTTATAGAGCCGTGCATGTGCACACGCATGCGCGCGTGTGTGGTTCAAGAGATGAAACGAGACCCAAAGTGCTTCACAAGGACAGCCCTGTTCCTTGAAATTTGTATTTGACGTCCGCAGGCACGTGTGTGTGTGGAGGGCTGTGTTTAGCAGTGCCGGGACGCCCCTCGCTGTGCTGATTGGCCGGGAGACGCCCGCGGGCCGCACTCACAGCTGGGGCTTATTCCCGGGGAAGGCTGCAGAGCGGGAGCCGCGGCCAAGGGTCCACCCCGCACGGCGTCCGGCGAGGCCCACACAGGCTTCGGAGGCCTTCGCCACCTGAGGCCGCACAGGCTGCGCGTCCTCTCGGCAGCGAGCTACGTGGACGAGTGTGAGGACGCCTCAGGGAGCCCCGGTGTCCTAATGCCAGGCCCCCGGCTGCGGATGAGCTGCCCATCCCCGGTCTTGACGTGAGTGCCCGGCAGTTGGGGCAGGACGGGGAGGCGAGGTGCCCGGTCCTCAGTGGCTAACACCAAGCACCCCCCGGGCCGTGTTGCCAGGTGGGGCCAGGACCCACCCCGGTTCCAGGCAGCCCTGGAGAGCTGCCAGCAGGGAGCCTCTGCCCTTTCTTCCAGGGAAGGCTTCCCTCACAGGCAGCTCTGGAAGCCACATTCCTCAGAGGGCACATCAACTGCGCACACCAGCCCCCCAATCAGAAGGCCCCTCACCCCCCGCCCCCACAAAGCAGCTACTTAGGAAACGTGTCAGCCTTCCGCACACCCTTCATTTCTTCTTTCCTGGACTTGGGTTACAGAATCGTCACTCCTCATTTCCCAAGTTCACCATCATCTTGTGACATTCATCACTGTTGACACAGAATTGTACATCCGCGTCTTTCTCTTTTGGGGTCCGTTCCCCCTGTGCTTCCTCCCCTCCCGCACCCCTGCTCTGCTGGGTTCACTTACTTCCTTTTCACCACCCTGAAGAGCCTACCTAGAAGCGTAACTGTTTAAACAGGGGTTCAAAAACCAATCTCTTTTTCACAATAAATGGCATTTTTTCATTTTATTCTTAGCTGCTGCATTTATAGTCGTGAACTCTCCCACCCTGCCTTTCCCCCCCGTGAGCAGGACGGCTAGAAGAGTTTCCCGTTTCCCCGTGGGACGGCGTCAGAGTCGAAGACTGTGGTTTCTTTCACCGGATGCTGCTGCGCCACCGATCCGTTCGGAGGCCTCTCGGAAGCACCTCTCCAGCTCCGGCTTCTCCTTGGCCTGAACTGCTGGCAAGTGTATTCCACGCGCACACCCACCCGAGAGAGGCTCAAACGCACGAGCGATGTTTCAGCCCCGAGCCAACCTCGCCCGAGCTCAGACGCCGGGGGCCGTTACTTTTACCGTCTCCTTGCAGGGAGGAGGTAGGCGGAAATGGAGAAGAAAAGTCAAATGAAGAACAGATGGGCGGGGGCGGAGGACTAGAGTCAAGAAAGGCGCACGGGAGGGTGTGGACTGTCCTCAAGAATAAAGCGGCAGTGGCTGCTTTATTTTCCTGTGAGCTGCACACATGCAAACATCCCTGCAGGCTATGCGCCCCCCCCCCAAATTCTCAGGGGAATAAAAATGAGCCCGTTCTCAGAGGGCCAAAAACCTCTTGCCCTCTGAGTTATTCCTTGTCCAGTAACCCGTACCTCCACGGCCTTTCTGTAAGAGCCCGTTTGTCAAAAAGTTTCTCTTTCAGAACGAAGCATAATCCCACCATAAACCCAAACTGATCAAATTACAAAGTAGATTTGCTCTCAGTTCATCGTACGTTTTCCAGCTTGACCTCAGTTCTAAATTTTCGAGATTTTTCTCATGGAATTTTTTTTTTTTTTTTTTCTGGGTGAGCTTCACAATCGGTTTTCAAGATCAGTGAGCAAGTACAAACAAAAGAACAAACCAGAACAGTTGCGTCAGCCCTGGCCCTGGGCAGCCGCGCTGGGGGTGGGGCTTCCTTCCGCAGGTAGAGGCCCCCCCCCCCCGCCCCCCTCCCTCCCGTTCCAGCCTGCCTGCGGGACCTGTGCGCAGGACTCGGTTAATGGAAAGTCCCTTTAAGAGGGCAAACTGGGGTGAACGCCCAGTATGGTCCAATAAACAGGATGATTTCAAGAAGAGGGAAAAACATGTAAACAGAAGTGAAAAGTACTTGTTTAGGCAAAAAGCAGCCCCTGGTAGGACTCGGTCCCGCGCCGGGGCGGCCGCGTAGTTAGCGCGGAGAGCAGAGGTCCGGCAGGGGCTGCAGGGCCGCTCCTGCAAGTGAACTCGGGGCGCAGCTGAGGACCGAGTCCCACCGAGGCCCGGGCCCCGTGCCCACCCGGAGCGCAGCGCCGCGCAGCCCTATTCAGCGCCGCCTGCGGGGCTCGACCCTGGAAGGCAGCCCTTGGGGGCGGCGCCGAGGGACCGCGCGGACCGCGGTGACGCGCAGCTGAGGGCGTTTCCTCTCGCCACCTTCGGTTGGCGCAGACCTCGTCCCCGCTTTTGCGGCCAGTTAACTTTCGTTTCCTGGCGGCGCCGCCCAAGTGCTCCAGGTTTCATTGGCAAGCGCGGGGCTAGGAACCCGGAGACGCCCATGGTGTCGGCCCGCCGCCTCCGAGCCCTGCTGCTCGGGATCCTGTCCGGGCCCCAGCGCGGGGCCTCTGCTCGGACCATGGCGCCGCCGCGCTTCTTCGCACTCGAGCTCCCCGGCTGCACCCTGGCGCACTTCGCCGTGGGCACCGACGCCGCCGGCGCGCCCCTCGACCCCCGCGCGGCCGCGCTCCTGGGCCCGCCGGGCCGCAGCTATTCTCTGTGCGTGCCGGTGGCACCGGGCGGGGATTACGCGGCCCGCGTGCGCGCGGCCCGGCTGCACCAGCGCCTCCTGCAGCAGCTCCACCGCGGGCCCCTCAAGCGCTGCCAGCTGCGCCGGCTGCTGTGCTACTCCCCGGACGGCAGGGCGGGGGCCCTGCAGCAGGGCGTCCTGCTCCACGACCCCAACGACAGCCCGGACACCCGGCGGGCGCTGCTGGCACTGCTGGACTCCTACCTGGAGACCCCGCGCCCGCGTCTGGGGGAGTTCTTGGCCGACCCGCTCCCCCAGCTGTGGCAGCGCCTGTGGGAGCTGCGGGACGGCCAGGGGTGGCGGCAGGTGGAGCGCGAGCCCGTGGGGCGCGCCCCGGAGCCAGCCCTGCACCCCGTGGTACCTGACCTGCCCAGCTCTGGGGTTTTCCCCCACCGGGAAGCAGCCCGCGGCGTTCTGGAGGCGGTAAGAGTTCCCATCCCTTCCCAGCAGGGCGGGTGGACCCTCCAGGTCTGAGAGTGGCAGAGGGCGGGGCAGGGGCTGCCTATTACACCTCTCCTGCTGGGGTTGTGCGTTTACCCCGGTGCACACAGCGGGCCAGGAAGGCGGGCTGCGTGCAGGCTCGGACCAGATACACGGCCCTTCCTCCATTCCCGCCTGGCAGGACCCCCCATCCTGACTGTGGGAGATTGGTGCCCTAGCGCAGAGTGGGGCTGGACACAAGACAGGAAGACAGCCCCTCTCTCCGCCCCAGGCCCGCAGGAATCTTCCCATTCCCTGAGGCTGGGGCCGCAGAAAGGGCACGCGTTTGGGGGTGTAAGGCGCTTGGAGTTAAACACTGCCTGCCTACGTAGGGGCTCGATCTGAGCCCTCAGCTACCCGAAGGGTGTCTCTCCATCTTTCACCTGTGAAGTGCCTGCCTTGCAGTGTGGTGACAATTAAGGGACCCTCCGACACTCAGGACCGGGTGTGACACGAAGGGGAGCCGGGCCGGTCGGGGCGTCTGCCCACGCCTTCTGACGCTGGGCTCCTTTTCCAACTTGTGGGGTTGTCCAGTGGACTGGCTGGGAGTGCCTGTGTGACCTCGGCTTGGGTTGAAATCAAACAGTAGCATTTATTTTCCATGTCACTTTCAGCCTGTTTCTTAAACAGCCTGCGTGTCAGTTTCCTTATCCCATGGAGGGGGTAGTAGGAGCCCGGCCCCAGCACCCCCCGCCCCCGGCCCCGACCCTGTCTGGTGCCCAGACTCCTGCCTGGCTCAGAGCTGAGCCCACACCCGAGTCAGTGTCTGGTTTCAGCCTAGAGGTGCCCGCCCGTGCAGCGGGGCGAGGCCGGGTACGAACTCTGAACTCCGCCACACCCGCCCCGCTCCACCGCCCCCCCCTGCCCCCGGCGTGGTTGCTGTGCGGCGGCGCCCTCTTCTCCGCCCCGATCCGTGAGGGAGGCCGGGGTGCAGGCTGCTGTCGTCCACACTGACTCCCCACCCTTGACACACTGCTTCAGGTGGGCCTGAGGCTGCAGTGCCGCGGTGTGACGCTGCTCTGTACCCGTGTGTCACCGCCGTCCGTCCCCCTCCGGGGGAAGTGGGTCGGCCGGGCGGCAGGCCGAGGGACGCTGAAGGCCACCGCCTTTCTGCGCTGAGGCCACACAGTTCAGCCAAGGCCCCCCCCCACGCCCCCGGGTCAGGCACTGTGGGTTTCCGCGGGGTGCCCGGCACAGCGCAGGCTCCACGGCAAGCTGTGTGGCTCCCGCGGCGGCCGCAGCTTCCCCGCCGACACACTGACGCTGTCTTGCAGTGCACAGCCTTCATTCCGGAAGCCCGGGCCGTGCTGGAGCTGGTCGACCGGTGCCCGGCTCAGGTCCAGAAAGGCAAGTTCCCGGTCATTGTCATTGAAGGACTGGATGCCACAGGTGAGAGAACGGTCCCTTCTGGTGACGGCAACGAGATGATCAATCAGATGCAGGAACAGACAGGCCTTGGCAAAGGGCCCTTCCTCCAGCGTTCAGAGCGGCCCCCCGTGAGCCCCTCGTTTGTGCTGGCCGGGGGCTGGGCAGGCCCGGATGCCCCAGCGCAGAAGCCCTTCCATGTGCAGCCCTGGGGGGCTGGGGCACCGCCTGCAGCCCAGGGCGGAGGCCAGGGGGCCGGGCAGGGGCCGGGAGAGCTTGGGAGGGTGCGGAGCCGGAGTGCGTGTTCAGTCCAGGGAGGGGCCGGCCAGGCGAGGAGCCCGGGTCGGCGCCCCGACAGAAGGGTCAGTGCGCACGCAGGTGTGAGCCCCGAGCCAGCGTCGCGGTCTGGGAGTCCCGGGTAGGCTGGAGGCCGCCTGTGCAGCCCCAGGAGGAAGGCATAGGAAGCGGAGAAAGGAAGCCCTCGCAGCTGCCAGGTGGCTGCCAAAACACAGCGGTGGCGCCTGCACCGAGACCCACGCACAGTGGCAGAAGTGTGGCCCCAGGGCAGCAGGAGAGACGGAGGACAGGCTGGGCCTGGGGCGCAGGGCGGCACCTGGCTTGGAGGCGGGCGCGGCTCCTTCCCCGGCGGCAGAGGGGCGGCCCGAGGAGGGGCCGAGCGAGCGGAGGACGGCCTCGGCGCCGGCGCCGGCGCGCTGCGCTCCTTCCTCAGCGGGACGGCCAGCCAGGCTGGCTGCTTCCAAGCGTCCTGACACCGAAAGGAAGGGCCCGCGGTCCCCGAGGGTCTGCCACTTTGTATAGTCAAATGAGTTCATCCGTGCCCTGGATTTACGAAGGTTGAACGAATGCCTTTGTCCCTTCAGAGGCAATAGGAACCTGGGGGAGGGTGGGGGACACGGTGGCACGGGTTAAGTGTGCTGTGCTGTTGTCCCTCGACCTGCAGGTAAAACCACCGTCACCCAGGCCGCTTCTGAGTCACTCCAGGCCGCGCTCTTGCGGTCCCCACCCGCCTGCGTCAGCGAGTGGCGGAAAGTCTTTGATGACGAGCCAACCATCGTTAGAAGGGCTTTTTACTCACTGGGCAATTATATCGTGGCTTCTGAAATAGCCGAGAAATCTACCACGTCCCCTGTGATTGTAGACAGGTGGGTATAACCGTGAATTTGGCATCGTCTGCCACCATGTCAGTGCGTGCGTGTGTTTCTGCAAGTGCACAGGTGTGTTTATTAAGGGAGCCCGTGTTATGAGAGCCATAGGAACAATGCCTGTGCTTCATTAAGGACACCGCTGCCTGGCATCTCGCTAAGAACACCGCACACATTGTGCTCATAGCTGGGACAATGGCTTGGCTAAGGACGCTCAACATTCTCCTGATGAGAAACACAGGCCTGAGAACGGTGATGTAACCTGCCACAGTGCCTGAGCGAGAGGTGCCGGGCCGGGAGCAGCAGCCTCAGGCTCTCCCTCACACATCGATGCTCTCAGAGGTGTGTTGGCTCTTCGGCTCCGCCCGCAAACATCGCTTGGCCACCCACGGTGGCTGTCCTCACCGAGGGCCTCGGGGCGGGGGGTGGTGAGCTCGTTGGGGCTCTGCTCTCACGGAGCCGACATGCTGCGGAGCGGGGGCAGCGAAGAGCCTGGACGCAGGAGATGGTGTCGGAGGATGGGAAGCGCTGCGGAGGAAGCAGGTGCGTCAAGACGGCAGGATGAAGAACGGCCACCCCCCTACGGGGCATGGGGTGGCCAGGCCCGAGTGAGGAGGCCCGCGATCCGAGCCCTGACTGTCCAAGAAGAGGCAGGCGCGAAACGCGGACAGCGCCGTGGAGAGAGAGATGATCGGCGGGACAAAGCAGAGATAGGGGGGCGTTAGCTTATTTGAGGCCCATGGACGAGGGGGCGCGCCTCGGATGGAGGAAGAGGGACGGGCAGGGGCGGGGCCCTGGGGTCCGCGGCTGCGGCGAGGGGCGTGGACAGGGTCCTGAGTGTGGCGGGGAGCCCAGGGAAGGTTTCCAATAAAGGAGCAACATCACCTGCATTGTGCTTTTGAGATTTCCCGCAGAGTCTCGCACCAATAATGCCTCTTTCTTAGTGCACACAAATATTTTATTATACAATCATAAGCGTGTAATTCTGTAACATAACCCTGCCGCACTCAGCGCACCGTATGACGTTACCGGTGAAATGTGCATGTGGCTGGCTGTCTCGTGCGAGGCGTTCACGTCCCCGACCAGCCACACTCGGTGGCGTTACTTCTGCCCGACCCTGTGTATAAGCAGTGGCTTTAAAATGCCACAAAAAGGGAGCAAAGGCAAGTCTCACAGGCGTACTCGCCACGGCTCGGTGACGGGAACGACGGCTACAGTGAGGCCCAGCCTCCCGCTCATCAGGCGGGTGAGAGCTCATTAAAAATGCCCTGACCTTAGGCCAGAGCTGGCGATGCAGGGGCTGGTGGGAGCAGACCCGGCGCAGGGCTCGGAGAGGAGCTGGGGAAGCTCCCCCGGGAGTTCGCGTCAGCCGTGCTTATAATGTTGAAGACGTGGAGGAGCCCAGAGCTCAGCAGAGAGGAACGAGTAAATGAACACCGGCCGCCGTTCACGGACGGAGCTCCGAACACTCAACAGCTGAACTTGCAAAGCCGTCGTTTCCAAGGAAAACGCCAAGGGGCAGCAGGAGCCTCACCGGCAGGCGCTGGGCAGCACGGGGCACAGGGCGCAGAGGGCCAGCGGGTGTTGACCGCGCGTTGGGAGCGCCGGCCTCGGGGAGGAGGGCGCTGAGGCTGAGGCGGCGCGCGAGGGCTGCCTTCCTGGCCGGGCTGTTTCTGAACGTTCCTGGAATGTTTACTGTCCTCTCTGCGATCTGACTTTTGGGGGGACAGACGAGCCGTTGTAGTGAAGTGGGACAGGCATTCAGGAAAGAGCATCGGTCCTCAATGTAAATCGCCATGAATTTCAAAAGTGAACACACCCAGGCTTGGCGGGCACCCCGGCGTAGACTGGGGGCCTCTCCAGGCCCGCGAGCCTGCTGCCCCCTCCTTCCAGCCTCTACCATTCTCGCCCCAGGGGCACCCCGTGCTTCCACCTGTTCTCGAACGTAGGCCAATGACCTTGAAGGGCTCTTTGCTTCTGACTGCCGTAGCGCGGCACCTGCTATTCCTCCTCGGTGTCAGGGGCGCCCTCTGAGGCACTCTGTGCACACACGGGTGCGGCTCTGTTCTGCAGAGTCCCCGGGGTGGGGCTGGGGGGGCGCGCGCTCGGGGGTGTGCTCCGCCGCGGTAGGTGTTGCAGTGTTTTCTGAAGTGGGGGGCAAGCCGGCGCCCTCCCCACGCTGGTTTGAGAATCACCTGTGACACGCGTCCTAGCCAGCACCCAGCACTGCCCTGCTAACCAGCCGCAGCAGGTCCCCCGCCCCCCTGCCCCTCCCCCCCAGCCCCGTGGGCGAGTCGGTCAGTTACAAGCTCATTTGCCACATTTGGAGACAGAACCGCTCCCCTTCTCTTGAACTGCCTTTGTACCCTTTTTTCTGTCTCAGAAATACTCCCTGAAGAGTCCCCTGTGCATGTTTGCAGAGAACTGAGGGGGTGCGGGGTCACCAAGGTGAAAACCCGCACAAACGAGGGAGCGGAGTGGGCCGGTGCTGTGCCTGGGCCACCCGGCCGGCAGGCAGTGCTGGCTGGGGACACGGCGAGGCGACCATTCCACGGTGGCTGGTGCAAGGGATCCTGGGGAGGGGAAGAGAGCGCATGCCTCCGTGGGCCGCCTTTGCCTGGGCGGCGTTTTTGCCCTGTGGCCGAAGTACCCGATGCTACTCTGTTCGCTGCCTTTTCGTGTGTCCCAGTCCCTAGATTCCCGGGAGGAAGCGCCCGCTCTTCCTTACAGCGCGCACACGGCGGGGCCGGGTGCCGCCGCAGAGGCTCCGGGAACGTCGTCCCAGACCGACGTCAGCCACTCTTGACAGGCTGTTTTTAAAAATGTCTCTGGGCAGGAAGAGAGAGTCACAGCCCTAAAAGAAAATCAAATCAGGCCTCTATTTTAAAACGTCCAGCAGAGGCACGCCGTTTCCTGAGCAGCGCAGAAGGCTGGAGCCGCGCCAGCTTCCGCGCCGAGGCGGACGCGCCCGCGTCCCGCATCCTGTGTTAAATGGGGGTCTCTGTGACCCCCTCCCTGCTGGCCACCAAGCCTGGGGACGGGCAGCCACGGCGGAGGGGCCGTGGGAAGCGCTGTGAACATAGCAAGTGGCTGCTCAAATGTAAAGCATTATCACCTAAGCTGTGTAAAATGTGTCGGCAGAGTGCGTTTGGTGTGCGCTAGCGAGGCCCCTTGCTGCCCGGCATGGAAAACACTGAGTCGTGAAGGAGTTCGAAACGGATAGCCAGGGGCGCGATTGTTTAGCAGGAGCTCCGTGGTTGTCCCTGAGAGGGCTCCCCCGAAGGGAGCAGGACTGCTGCTTCCTGGTCTCTCTTCTGTGTGCCTGTGGGTGGTCCGCGGTTTTGTTCTTCAGAGAGCTCCTGTGTCACCGACCCGGGTGAGAAGAGCAGCCGTTGGTTGTCCGGGTTGTTCCTGTTTCAAGGCTTTAATGAAACCAGTTAGAGACACCACCATTGTCTAGCCGGAAGTATGAGGGGAGACGGTCATTTTTAGTGGCAGCTGCAGTTAAGGTTTGCAGCTTAAGTATCCTTATTGGTTTTGACCACCTATTCTTGCTCATGATTCTCCTACAGTAAAGAAGGCTTTTAAATTAAGATATTGTCCTCAGTATCCACAGCTGAGCATTTCCTTCTGTGCGCCGAGGCCGTGGGCAAACCCCCGGGAAATGGTCCTTCGGTTGCGAACAAGAAGAACCCCAGCCCCTGCATGGCTTGCGCAGGCTCAGGAGACAGATGAGCCCGATAGAGGAGGTGGACGGACAGGTTTGTCCGTGGTGCGAGTCACGTAGGCGGCCCGGAGGAATGTGCAGGTAGAATGCAGAGCCCGCAGCTGCGGTGGCCTGAGGTCCTGGGAGCCGCACGCACCTGTGGGGGTGGACAGGGCTGCAAAGGGCAGATGGCGTTGGAACGCGTCCGCTCCCAGATTGATTCTTGATGCTTGTCCTTTGCGGTACTGTCTGTCACGCTATCCTCAGTTGACATGACCTGGCTTTAGTGTCCAGGAAGAATTAGATGTCGGCTTAGGCTGGCAGTGAGACACAGCTGTCACCGCATTTCTCTGCTGCTGCACCACCCATGGGAGAGGACGCTCGCAGGGCTCCGTTGTCCTCATGAGGGGACCAAGACCCCCTAGGCTCACGTGACCGACCGATGTCCACAGAGCAAGTGGGTGGCAGAAAGTAGAACAGTGCACAGTTTGGACAACACCGGGAATTTATTTTGTAAACACCAGTATGTTCTTTTCACAGAGAAAAGTGGTTCAGGCCTCCAGCCGTGAAGCGGGTAGGGTTTTAAACCTTGAGAGTCGGTCGCACATTGAACACGCAGCCAGGCTGGGAGCTGGGAGCGCCTCTGCGCCTTGGGACGCGGGTGGTTGTCGCCCAAGTGTTTGCTGCAGGGGATCACCCTTTGTGCTGAGCTGGGGGGTTTGCATTTTGCAAGTCTCTAAAAACAAGAGTTAGATTATTTCCTGGATCCAGCGCCGGGAAAGCGTGAGCAGAGCCGTCTCTGGTTCCAGCATCCTCCGTGGCCGATTTTCTCATCCTCTGGGGCTGCCTTGATGTCTCCCGCAGATGGAGAACTCACCGCTCCTTCCCTTCTCAGGTACTGGCACAGCACGGCCACCTACGCCATCGCCACCGAGGTGAGCGGGGCTGTCCAGCACCTGCCCCCGGCCCACCACCCCATATACCAGTGGCCGCGGGACCTGCTGAAGCCCAACCTGGTCCTGCTGCTCACCGTGAGCCCTGAGGAGAGGAGGAAGAGGATCCAGGGCCGGGGCCTGGAGAGGACCAGAGAGGAGACGGAGCTGGAGGACAACAACGTATTTCGTCAGAAGTAGGTGTCTCCGTGCGATGTGTGTGATGGGGGTCCCTGGCCGCAGCGAGGGCCAGGAAGGGCGCCAGCCTTAGGAATCTGGCAAAATGACCTTGTTCCCGTTTTTCAAACCCGAGAGCCGGTAGTCTCCGCGTGCGTTCAGCCGCTTCCAGTGGGGTGGTCACATGGGGCTCCAAAGCCATGGGATGTCCCACCGGGGAGCAGAACGTCCTAGTCACCTCTGCAAGGATGTCAGCTGTGTTTTACCGCTTTCCCATCTGGGGCCCGAACAATTCCCTGGTTTGTCTAAACTCACGTAGGCCTCACAAGCAAGACGGCCATGGAGATGGAGCTGGTCTCGAGGCTCCAGCAGTGCTTTTATATTTGTGGAAAAGCGCGCGCGCAGGCGGGGCCTCTGCACCCCTGACCGCGCCGGCTTTGCAGGAGCCGGCTCTGTGAGCGGCCGGAGACGCCACGGCGGGGCCGCTCCCGTCGACAGTGACGCTGCGCCGTCACCGCCTGAATACAGGGCAGCCCTGCCGTGTGCAAAGAAGCCACGCCGCGCCCTCGACTCCTTAACAGGAGGGTTCCGTGAACCCTCACGACCAACGCGTGGGGAAGGCGTCACCTCCGCCCTCGTTTTACGGAGGAGGAGCCGCTGTAACCGCCACGCCGCTGTGCGTCAGCCGCGCTGTCGGTTGTCGCTCCGCACACGTGCAGAGGGCCCGGGCAGGAGGCGAGCAATCCTGGCAACGTTTCAGGAGGCTCCTCCGTGGTCACACGGGTGCCCAGGGCCCCTGGCTTGCGTCACGTCTGGCTTGCCTGAAATCCTTCAGAAAACAGGCTGCGGAGACCTTCGTCCCTGGGCAAATTGCCTCATCCGTTTGGCCCTCCACTACCCTGCCTGCAGCGTGGGGGCACCACGGCTCCCTCCCCAGGCCCCTCTGAGCACGAGGCGGGTAGGACAACGCAGGATCCCACGGCGGGGCACACAGCAGGTGCTCACCCTTGCCAGCTATTAAACATCGCTACCGAAGTGCCACGCACGGAACACTGTGCCCCGGGTGTGCTCTGGGGCAAAGCTGGGGGCCAGGCTGTGTCGTGGTAAGCCAGGCGGGGGCCGTGCCTCCAGCCGCTGGCATCGCGGCAGGCAGTGCCGGTCGCGTGCGGAGCCGTGCTGAGCAGCGTGCCAACCCTGTCCCTTCTGCCTGTCTGCAGGGTGGAGGTGTGCTACCAGCGGATGGAGAACCCCGGCTGCCAGGTGGTGGACGCCGACCCGTCCCAAGAGGAGGTCCTGAAGACGGTGCTGAGCTTGATCCAAAAGAACTGTTACTAGTTGCGGTAACTCGGGGCCCGGCGACACCTAGGACGAGATGTGATATTGCTCGTCACATCTCAGCCCACGCCTGGCTTTACACGCTTTTCCCGATTTCTGCCGCATAAGCTCGCCATGTGGCCGGAGATTGGGGACCGGACATTTGGATTTCATATCAATCATTGTACTTGCTTCTTACCAATGGGCCCATGCGGGTGGAGGCTGGTCACGTCCCAGTAAGAGGCCGGGGTGGCTTTCCACCTAGCGTGACCCACGTTTTCTTGGGGTGTATTTTTAGCTATGTCCCTACCGAAGGCCTCCCAGGTTTGCGGCATCCAGAGAGCATGCGGCATGTAGCAGCCCCCCCGGAAGGGTTCCCACTCAGCAGGAGCCCCGCCCCCGCCACGCTCCCCCTCCTGGCTCCCAAGGACACCTTGATTGGCACGGCAGGGCTGACGCCTTCCCGGCCCGCCCACGTCCATCCTTCTGACGTAGCCCCGAATCCCAGAGCCCAGCGCCCCCGCAGAACCGGCTGTGCGCCCCAGCTCCCGCGGAGCCGGCCGGTGGGTCAGGGGCACCTACCCAGAAGGCCTCTGGCTGCCTCTCAGAACCCTGGCAAGGTCCTCCCTTTAGCCCTGCAGAGGCAGCTGGGGAGGCGGCCAGCCTTAGAGAAGGCTGCCTTCTCTAAGGGCAGCTACGCCGAGCTTCCTTAAATTATATGCTGCTCATTTTGATCCCTGTCCTTTGCAAACAGGGCTTTGGGTACAATGAGTGTTTTGCCCTGAACTGGATGCGTTCAGCATCGCCAGCGCAGCCGTGTGTTTAGATTGATGTTCCCCTGAAGCGCAGGGACGGTGCTTCACTAATTACAGTGGAAGCCGAGGAGCTGAGGCAATGCTCGTTCTGTATTTTCATGCCACAGAGTTCATTTGTCTGACCAGGTGGATCCTAGAAGGAGGAGTCTTAGTAAATTACCTTGCGCTTGAATGTCTGGTGACGGCGCGTGAAATCAGTTTAGAGATTTGTTTGGCTTGAAGACAATAGCTCAGAAAAGAGGAAACGTAATAGCGTGGTGGCCTTGGGTGAGTCGTTCAACACAGCCGTCTGTGTAACCCGATCTCCGATGTGAGAATAATCATTTGTCTTGAGAAGTCAGCGGAACCAGCGGTTACCTGCAATTCCTTCCAGTTCTAAGATGGATGAACCTATAAATTATGTCAGGCCTCATCAGATTTATAATATGGGATCTTAAATTACAAGAAAGTTTAGTGTTAACTGTAGCATACTGTTTTTCTAAAGAACTATAGGTAATGTACACACAATCTGTCTCTGTATATAAATATGTCATTGATTTCAGTAGAAAATCCTTTTGAAGCTGATGCACGGTGTTGAGGCTCTTTACGGTGTGATGTCTAATGGCGCGGTGGGCGTTGGTGACGTGAGGCAGCCTGGGAGAAGCAGCATCTAATGCCTTCCGTCTGTGCCTTACAGGTTAATAAACTCACCCTGTTTTCTAAGCCGTGCCGTTGTCACAAGTGTGTGTTGGTTCCCGGAAGGCGCCCCTGCCGGGCGGCTCCGGTGTGGGAGGGAGATTTGGGGCAAGGGCGGGGAGAGGCGTGCGCTCCCACGGCCGGTGCGACTGCGTCAACGTGGCTGCGGAGGAAGGGAGACCGTTTCCGTTTTGTTCAAACACCACGGCAGGAACGTGCAGGCCCTTCTTCAGCGCACATATTAGTGGGATTTTCGTCCAATCCAGTAAGACCCCGGATGGCGCACCTGAGCTCCTCGCACGCTGGTATGGTGTGACTTGTGAGTCTGTGATAACACGGTGCCCCTTGCCCAAAAACTGATGACAGGGACTGTTTGCCTGGCTCTGTTTCGTGACAAGGTGAGTTTCATTTCTGTCCCTGTGATACCCCCTCACTGTCCCAAATACTTACTGTCCCTTTCCGCCCCAGCAACAGACGGTGTAGCTGCACAGGCGGCTGCTGAGAATTAGGAGCGTGTCCAAGGCCCCTCCCACTGGAGCGGCCGCCTGAGCCCCTCCAGGCTCTCCCCTCACCAGGGGCAGCGGGGACCCGGGCGGGCCAGGGAGGGCGGCCCTGTCCCCTCCGCACTACCGGCCAGTGCGGGTGGTAGCCGCCTGGGGACCTGGCGACGAGGGTGGCACCTGGGAGGTGGAGAGGCAGCAGGGTGAAAGGAGGTGGCCTTCGCTCAGGACGAGCAGCTGAGGACGAGGTGCGAGGTGCCCGGGGCTCTCCCCCCCCACCAGCCAGTGCGTGCAGGACAGACGTGCAGCAGTCACGTGCGCGGAACCTCAGCGCCCACCTGCCGCGTTTCCTCTGTCTCGGCTGCTGCGCTGAGTGCCAAGGTGGCAAGAGCGGCACAGGGAGCCGGGGCGGGAAGTGAGTGCGATGCTGTCCCTGCGGACGGAGGGGAGCACGTCCCACGCCCGCACGCTTGGCCTGCCCAGCCAAACGGCCCGACTCGGGGATGTTCATCAATGTACAACCGACGGCAGGGGTTGTGTGGGCACAGGTTAAACACAAAGCGTCCCACTGGGGCCCGTGCGTTTCATTTGCGGCTGCGCCTGGGGGTACGTCTGCTTGGCAGCACTTCCGTGTTGATCTTGAATTTTTAAGGAAAAAAACGTGTGGGAAACCTGTAACAAATTGTATTTGGTGTGATCCCCAAAGGCGAGGATCTGGCTCCTTTTCTATTCCGCGGCCTGAAGGCGAAGGCTGTGAAGGGGAGCACGTCCCCATGCGCCCAGCAGGGGGAGGAAGAGCTCCAGGCGTCCCGCACCCCGGGCCTGCGACCCTGGCTTCCGGGACCCCGCACCTACCCGCCGAGGGCGGGGGAGACTACAGAGGCCCCTTTCATTTTAATTTAAATGGCCGCTCTGGTGGGAGAACAAAGGGCGCAACACAGGACGTCTCTAGGTCAAAGGAGCAAGTCTTTAAAAGTGGCTAATTTCTAGCTTCAAGAATTCTAAACCCAGCCCCGGGTCAGAAAAATATCCCAAGAAAGACTGTAGTGACCATAGAGCTCAATGTCCTCCTTCAGTAATTGTGGAGAAGGGGCCTGGGAAGGCGCGCCTGGCCCAGGGTCAGAGCGCCTGCTGGGAGCAGATGCAAGATGGGAATGTTTCCAGTCCTCTCCAGGGCTCTTTGGAAGGCGACAGACTGTCAGCCCCCGAGGCCGTCAGCACCGAGCATGCACCCCGACGTGTGTGTGTTCCTGTGCTTAGGTGTGTGTGCAGGTCATGACTCACGGTCTGAGAAGCTTACAATCTGAGGCCTGGCTAAGAAACATTCTGGCCCTTCTCCGCGTCCTGGTTTGTTTGCTCTTAACGCTGCCCCGCCCCAGCTCTGCCCCCAGGTGACACCAGATGCAAATGCCAGTGATTGTGTTGGGGCAGCTGATGGCTTCCCCACCCCCCGACAGAGCCCTTGTGAGAGCTGGCCAGTCACCAAAATACCGTGGCTTAGATGACACATCGTACACGTTCCTGTGAAGTCTCCCACGTTTTTATCGACATGCATGACATTAATGTGTGTGCTTCTCTGCCCATAATTGAAGGTGCGTCCCGTCTCGCTGGAATCGTAAGACCTTTGAGCAAACTATTACACTGCATGTTAGGCTGAACCTGGCCTGTAAGTTCTTCCCAATGTCATGCATTTGGGTTCGCCTTTGAGGTACACAAAAGATTATTTTCTGAGTTCTTTTTAAAAGAGATTTTATTTACTTTTAGAGGGAGGGGAAGGGAGAAAGACAGGGAGAGAAATATTGACGTGAAAGGAAAACAGTGATCGGTTGCGCCTCGTAAAACAGTGATCGGTTGCGCCTCGTACATGCCTTCACTGGACACGGAACCCCCAACCCAGGCCTGTGCCCAGACCGCGAGTCCAACAGCGGCTTTGCTCTTTGCAGGACGAGGCCCAGCCAACTCAGCCACACCGGGCCGGGCTGCTCTTTGAGTTTTAGTTGGAAAAAAAAAAACCCAGCAAATCTATGTTGATGGTGTTTTGTTTTGTTTTGTTTTTTAAAAAGCCATCAACAAATGCAAGCTTGTTTGAAGCCATAGCAGACTATTTCCTTCAGCCAGAGCTTGTGTTAAGGAATCCCCCTCAGGTCCCCGACTGTTCCGAGGGGCAGCCCCGGCCTGTCCCCGACCGGGAGAACGTCTGCAAGGCGAGGGTGAGGACTGAGGACAGGGAAGGTGGAGACACATTCACAGAGCGGATTGCAGGCGGCTCTGTGCTCCCCTTCTACTAATAAAGCTTCCCGGTTCCCTCTTTCACGTGTGTGAACACAGGACAGGGAATGAGGGACCCCTGGCCAGCAGATGTGCCCGTGGGTCCCCGCTGAGCAGCTGTGACCCTAGATACGCAGCTGCGTTGGCAAAACATGGTGCTGGAAGACACCTAACCCCCGCCCCCACCCCGCTTCTGGCGGCACGACAGACTATAACTGCGCAATGAATGCAGCTCACTGAGGGCCTAAGTCCCTTATAATTTTCACAGGATCCTAACCAGGGCTGCTGGTTTTAGACCATTTTGTTACCACGTCAATAACTTGGCAAACCTGGTGTTGCTACCTAACTCGTTACAGAATGCGTTGGCTCCCCTAAAACCTTCAGCAAGTTAGTCTTTTGTAAACACCGTTTGCTTCACATTCCCCAGGGAAGGCCAATGACGGATGGGTGGCCGCTGCTCCCCGCCCCGCTTTCTTCCGCAGGAACCGCCCAGCAACCTCTCCGGGGCGCCCCTGCCGCCCGCTGCCGCCCCCTCCAGGCCAGCTGTCCTGCGGCGCCCCGGACCCTACCCCACGGCCCCTCGTCCATCACACTCAGGGCTTCCTCCGGGTCGTCCGCCAGGCCTCTGCGCAGCGTCGGTCCTCAGACGGGTCCGTCCCCTCACTCTCTTCCCCTTCGCCGGACTCACACCATTACCTGTCTCCCTCCGCGTCTGCGCCAGCGTCGACGTCCTTATCCACATCCATGTCCATAACTGCATTGATGTCCGCGTCCGTAACTAGGCATCCACATCCGTGTCTGTGACTATGGCTGTGTACACACTGTGTGTGTGTGCGCATGTGTGCGTGTGTGTGTTTGCACTTCTGCCCCGGGACGTGCGCTCCCTGACCCCGGGCCGACAGCACCCCTTGGCGCCCGAGCAGCTCAGCGGGCGTTTGTCCGAGAGAGAGCAAGCCTCCTGCCGGCTCTCACATCTGCACTCGGGGCTGGGTTTTGGCTCCTATTAGCTCTGTGGACGAGTTATTTCACTTCAGAGCTACTCGGTCTTCTCATTTCTCCATCGAGGGCGTTGTCACCTCTCTCCGAAGCCGGCCGTGAGGGTGAGAGGGGACACTGGGACGGCCAGGAGCGTCAGCCCCGGCCCAGCGCGGGCCCCCGGCCCGGTCAGCCCTCATCTGCCCCTTCGCCCCGCTGGCTGGCACGCCCAGGCCCCCGGGCTCACGGGGAGCACCCTCCACACCGGCCCGGGCGAGTGCCTTCGCACTGGCACGCGCGGACCTGCCAGCCCAGGAAGCTGTCAGCACGGTCGCTGGTTCCCACGGCCACGCCTCCTGTGGATTTGTCCGAGATTTATCCGAGAGTGTAAGCACGGACAAGGTAAATGTCAGGCGACATTTACCTTGAATTCAGAAACGGGGGCGGTTTATTATTGGAGGGTAAAAATAGACCAAAAGAGCGAGGGAGCTGCCGCCCTTTTGCCATCTAGGTAGCCTAAGCATTGACCCCAAGGTCCAGCCCAGGCGACTGTTATAAATGGAAACCTTTCAAAACACTTGTAGTTAAAGCCAAATACACTTAGAACAGAGAATGTATTCCCTAGAAATAGGAACCACTCTGCTCAATAAGCGATTGGCATTAACGCATCTGCTAAGAGTTCGGCTGGCGTTCCTGGACGGACTGTGCGCCTCAAGCCTACGCGTCGCCCACCACGTCCATCCGGCATCAATGACGCAGCGGCCGGCCCAGCCCAGCCCAGGGCCACGGAGCGGGCGGGCGCTGAAGCCTGGGGGCGCCCCTGTCCGTCTGACCTGCGAGCCGCTGCAGGCCCCCGCCCTCCACGCCGGGGTCCCAGGCGCTGACGACAGTTCTGAGTGAACGCCGGAAGAAAACAACAGTGACGACTGAAAACCAAAAGCCTGGGTCGTTTGGCTTGGCATTGGTACGGCTTGTGTTCAGCGACGCCCGGGCTCCTTGCAAGTCCTCTCAGCTCCTCCTGGGCAGGGCCGGGCAGGACCCCTGCCTCCTGCCACTTTTCTGAGGGGGCAGGGGAAGCGAGGCAATGCCACGGAGTGTCCCCAGCTGGCAAGGGTCAGAGTAGGGGCTCGGCCCTCGGAGGGGAGATCGTGGCTCTCCTGGGCCTGTCCCAGAGGACAGTGTCCACTCCCTGGCCGGAGGCTTGCAGATGCGTGCATGCGGGGGGCGCCTGCCAGCGTGTGGCCCCTGGGCAAGCCTGGCCTCGAGCCCCCCTCCGCAGGAG